CGCCCGACGCACTCCATTACTTCGCTTAGCCATTAATAAGGCTGGTAAAGAGGGAAGATTGGGCATGAAGCTAGCAGCCCCATTCCATATAAAATGAATACCACTGCCACCGACACTTCAAGCCTCTATCTTGAAGCCCTATGTTCCACTGGAAACGTAAAGGAATAAAAAAATTTTCTATAGCGAAACAAGTAGTTAGATTATTATTTTCAATTGTTTCTCTTCAGGGATTTGACTGATTTCAAGTGATATAACGGACTGACATCAGTGAGAGAACCGTTGATTACCAGTTAGTATCAAGTAGTTGTTTCGTCTCAATTAGGTACTCTTCAGCGGTCAACGCAGAAGACTCCCCCAGAGATTCGCTGCTAAAAAGCCTTAATGCAGACATACCATAACATGAAAATACAGCTGCAGAACCTGATGGGGAAGTTGTCGAAAATGAATGAATATTCGAATCCTGGTGGGTGCGTACTGATGAAGAGTCCCAAACTAGGACGAAACAGCTGTCCAGTACTCCCGGGTTTTCCAATGGTTCTCTAACTAATGTCAGCTCATGATGAAAATCCTGTAACCAATCAAATCCCTTCAAACCAACACTTGAATATTCTATGCTTGTCTTAATTTAAAGTCTGTTGAAAGAAATTTTCCTTATTTGGAAGGCTATTTTCAAAAAAAGTTTTATTCCTGGCTAAGTATAGGGCTTCACGCTTAAGCTCTGAAATTTCACTAACAGTGGGGTCACAATTCTCCCACCCAACCTTCCCTTTTTAACGGGCTTACTGTCGTCTAGGCTTGATAAAGGAGTGCGCCAGCTGGGGATCTAAACTCGTAACACTTGCGTAGTTGGCCAATGTTCTACTACTGACGCATTTAAATACACTAATCTAACTATTTGTTTAATCTTCGTCTTACAACCTCCTCCATTTACATAATTGCTCGTTATTTACAAATACTCTTCGAGGTTTGACGGTTAGGGATAATCTGCAAGAGACGGTGAACTTAGGTTTCGTGCTTTTTGGCAGTTGTCAGAAAAGCCGATCGACAACCTTCAAGGAACCGAGATACCTAGAGGGACTTGCAAGTCCCTCCTGTAGTTCGGCAGTCAAAGGCGTTACTAGGATCCATATCTCACCTCCTGTAGGACCGTATGGGTTATTGGTTGGTCATAAGGGTGTAACGTATTATGACTGCAGTGCTGTATGACATGGGTTCGAGTTCCTGAAACAACCCCAGTTCCTTCGACGTTGCACACACATCACTGATGATTGCCAGCAAACACTTAACACCGAAGTCTGAGTGTGTTGTAGTCGCGTATAATCCCACAACATTTATCTGCTTTCTCGATTCCACTGTTTATGTGAACCTTCCCAGTGGAAGACTCACGGTTAAACAACATCATTATTTCGTAATCTGTTACGATGCGTTTAGTTGTCTGTGCATAATCTCTGAATAACTGAAAGTACGTCTCAGTTTGGCAACAAAGATCGTAAAGTATAAATCGACTTTAAAACGACCAAACTGTCATTCTTACTAAATATTCCTAGTCTGACATTATACGAGTACAACTGACTTGAAGAATAACAGTTACGTACTACAATCACACAAAACACAACGCAACGCAAAGAAGAACGATATCAGGGAGAATAATGCTCATTCTATCAATCTGGAAGATGCATTTGCTCTAACGATTTTGAGCAGTGTCACCAGTAATTACCGCCCACTGCCATGTAGCATACACCACCCTACATGGCTCAAACGAATAGTCAAAGACCTAATTGATTGAAGTATGCGGTGAAGATGTTGCCCAGTAGGGGCTTCGCAAATAAACCGTCCAGCTCAGAGAACACAACTACATCAAAATCATCCACCTGAGCTACAAATCTAATCCATCATGTGTAATTGATCGATTTCCATGTTTTATTTCAACTCTTCCTTGCTCTTTTTCAATCTCATCAAATAGCAGTCAACATTGCTCGATATGAACAGTGAAATTTTGGCATTCGTATCAAATTTCTTTGCCAGCTTCATAACCTCATCGATTCGCTGTAGCTCTGGCCATTCACATAGAAAAAACCGGAGCTGTGCATACAAAAGAGAATTACTCAACCACTTCTATTGTCATGCTAACAAAACTGTTGATTTTGATGGTTTCGTTTTGTTTGTCTGCTTGTTTCTTTAATTGATTATAATTCTTGTATTCATTTAGAATTCTTACGTAATTTCGTATTTTCTACTCTGTTCCTATGTGTATCCTGAGTCAAACTCAAACTATCCATATTATTACATAACTTCTTCACCTTTGTTACTACCCAATTCGCGTATTAAAACCTTTACTCAGCATACAAAAGAAGTTTGTTCAGTCATTAAAAAGTCTACAGTGGACCTGACCTATCTTAACACCAAATACGTAATTTTTGTTTCGTCTTTTTCTTGCTTGTTTATTTCTTAATTGAGTAATATTTTCTTTTCCCACCCTTTTTAAATCGCTACCCTTTATTACCAGTGTTGTTAACTTGACTTTTGTTCAACTTTAATTTTAACTGAGCGCTACTCAGCGCTACCCGTCAATTAGATTACGTCACTCAACTTGATTATGGATAAGATTTATTTTGATGAATCATGCACATACACTGTGTGATTTAGACAAAGCAATAAGAAGACGTAATTTGTCTGAATCGCTGATCACACACGGACTTGTCATAGGAATATATATATGAAATTAATAAAGAGTTAAGAGGTGAGAAAATAGACTGTGTGATTTATCAAAATAAAATCTTATCCATAATGGAGTTGTGTGCGTCGGTGGTATAGCGGTTAGAACTTGACTGACGTAACTCCAATTACCAATCTTCACCTGTTTAGTTAAAATAACTATAACCAATTGTAATTTTGTTTGACAAACCTAATGTACACATACATACAAATAACCCATTGATATGTTTGCGATTGTGCAGCTAAGAAAATGAATTCGCCGCCGATAAAAGACTCTTCGCTGAACTACGTGTTTTGTTTTCAATAATACAGTAAGCACAACCTCGTTTCTAATGACCATACTGTAGCACCTAAAATGATAGATAGCACGCAGACACATATATGATCGAAGACAGTGTTGGTCTTTTCCCATCCCTATACTTTTAACAGACGTAAAGAAGGACGAAGTGAACTGTTGTGCAGTACACACATTATTTGATAGATGACTGGACAACATGCCTGCCTCCAGACATGGATTCATATTGACAAATACCAAACAAGCCTTCTGTATTTATGCTGAAATCTCGTCAGGAATCACTCTATTTGGGCTGATGCAATCATTTCACTAGGCATCTTAAAACTAACAGACCAGTCCGACAACATCATCGTATAATCGACTGAAGCTTACTATGCAGCAGAGGTACGTTGTCTCTTCACAACCACCCCTATTCTATGTTCGAGAAATAAAGATAAACTACCTAAATTTGCTTCTTCTATGTGTATCTACCAGTTTGACTGCAGCTGCGGAGCTAGCTACATTGGGCGTACAATTAGGCAGGTTCATCATCGTATTTCCGAACATCATCCTGCAGCATGGTTAAGCAAGGGACAAACAAGATCTACTCGAAGTTCTATTTTAGCACACCTTGTTGATACTGAGCATAAGGTTGATGTTAATACTGCATTTAAAATTATTTATCGCATTCCTACTAATCTTAACTTTGCTCTACGAGTTCGTCTTCTACATACTACAGCTGAAGCAATCGGGATCCACCTGAAGTAGCCAAGCCTATGTGTTCAGAAGAAATTTGTACAGCCACTTTCCTTACCGTGGCCATCGTTACAAGACAGGACTACGTCGCCCCCCTCCCCCTAAACCTATAAAAATTATAATTGTCCAAATTATTTTATTTTTATTTATTTTGACCACTTCATCTTTAATTACGTGTTATCCTTGTAAAATTAATTTATTCTATCCATTTCTACCTTTTAAATGTGCATTGATTTTCTTCGTTAATTATCAACCCATTGACATTTTGACACTGTTTAATTATTGTTAACAAACATATCGCCACTTGTTTGGTAAACTGTTGTGTATTGTAATAAAAATGCTATGCATATTAGAGTAGAGCCAGAGATGAGGATCTAATTGAAAAGTAAATATTTCTTCGCTCAATCTTTCTGTTTTCTGAAGCATATCTCCCATGCTATACATACTAAGATTTCCGGTCGAGATATTCAAAGGATTCTGCAATTGGCCAGCCTCTTCAACATATACATATACTCTGAATCAATAAGATCATTTCCTGGTAACAAGCCAATAATCCTCAGATCGATAAGGTTGACAAAGGGTGTCATAATATCCATACACTCGCCTTATATTATTCTATTAGTAGTATTACAAAGTGCGCGCAGTACAACTTATCCCAACACCACCACTTCCTCGTCCTCCTAACAGACTCCTTTCAATGTAATCGAAAATTTGAAGACAAAAAAACAAAGACATTCCATTGATAAACTCTTAAACGTATGTATTTACATACAATCAGCATCTTGTCATGTGAGTGAACACAGGATCGACATCCAAGTCCTAATCAATACATATTGATTGCATTATTAGAACGAGGCACCTTGATACGATCCAGATTTTTAATTATAATGTCATGCAAAGTAGCCTAAATACCAAAATAAAAGAGAAAAGTCATAGGTCATAGATCAAAAACCCTTAGAAGATATATATATATATTTATAGATTCCGGACGCTTTACTGTCTTTCGAGACAACATATTCAGCGCTAAGTTCAACTGCAACTGTACGGGGACAGTATATTGCTTTTTTATATATCTACAGACTACAAGTTCACTATTTGATTCACCTGAATCGTATGTCATTTGCTATGCAGGTTGAAATGATCAGAACACTAGACGACCATTCCGCTCTCTCTTGAGGGTTGAGCGCACATATCATTGGGAAACTTGGTTTAACTCAGCTCAGAGAGAACCGAATCACAGTTAAGACCACCAACTGGGTGATGTAAATAGTTTCCAACGTCTCATACTAATCAGTAGTGTATACGATTATGTACTTACCCTTCATCTCTTGTTTCCATTAATGGGATCATTCAAATTACATATTCTAGTGAATTGTCATGTCGAACTGTGTTTGTGTAGTTTACGAATTTCAAATATGATCCAATTAAATTATTTATTGTCCTAAGCTTGAACAATGAATGGTTGAAATAAAAAGGTTGATCCGTTAGAAGTCGACTACCTCGTTACTGAGGACTAAGAGCCACACACAGGAGTGTTCTCAACAGGAAGTCAATCGCGAGCCCGGATAGTGAGCTCAGTGGTGACGTCTCTGACTGCAGTTCGCACTGAGTGACACTGGTTCAAATCTCAGAAGGCACATGAGTTCCTTCAAGATTGCAGATACGCCTTGCTGACTGACTGGTGAGTGTCAACTAGCACGAAACCTAGGTCAAGTAAGGCTTCCTTTGGCCGATTGCCTCCAACCATCTAATAACAACTAGCTGAACTTCTGTTTATTTTTGCCATTACTACACTTTTGATCCCAATTGGTAATCTTGTTATTCGTTACAATTTGACCCTCGACGGGAAATAGTTCTGGAACTTCCTCACTCTACGCTATGATTGTCTTCTCTTTTTTTTAATTTGAAAGATAACAAACATACATCATTTTACCTAATTTTTCCGAAGTGAATAACATAAAGATAAATAAAATGACATGAAACAATGGAATCATCAATTGAATATCAACAAAAAAGAATCAACTCTCATTCGATAGATAGGGGGGGACTATCTCCCACTCGTCATTTTACAATTCACTGAATAGTAGAAATAAGACTATACAACACACTGTATAAGTGAATAAATATTACACTAGGGATAGAATCCCAAAATGCCTTGAAAACCAAGGACGACGCGCCTGCTCTCATCAACGCGTCTTGACCTCCTCCTCCTCAGCAGCAGTTAGAATAGTGCTGACGTCGTATCTATCGATGAGATATATAACCATCCAAACTTGAGGTAGGGCTATATATAACAGAACATCTCCAGTTCAATTCTGTTATCTACTGTCTGCTGCTGCTGGATCCAACATAGAACTTGGCACCGAAGTGCAGCAGTTCGAGTTGCCACCTTCCAAATAGCACACAAAGGTAGACAGGAAAATGAAAGAAGAGGATCAATAGAATTTAGATAAGTATAAGAGTGAAACAGAATGAGTAATGGTAGAAAGGAATATGAAGGTTAAAGAGACTAAATACATCTACGCCATTGACAACGATTTTGAGCCATGTCACCTATTGTCTCCAGCCATTGATTCTTAGAGTCCCGAGGGCGGGCCCCAACCCGGAAGTCTGCATCTGCCTACCTGACTCAGATTAACTGTCATGGATTTCATGGATTGATGCCATGTTTTTGTTTGGCCACCACTTACTCTTTTCCAACCTGCACCTATATCAGCTAGTAATGCCCGTCGGGGGAGACGATGGTTAGGCATGCGCAGAACGTGGCCTAACCATCTCAATCTATGTAACTTCATAGCCTCTTCGAGTGATTTTCCCTCTTTGCCCAGCACTCTACGCCTAACGTCAACATTACATTATCTACTGTCGTCTTCAGCTAACCCCGTGATTGACCACAATCAGCTCTTATCTCCTATTGACCCGATCTATTCTACGTTACCCTCGGACACCTGCCCAACTCGTCGTTTCCCAGTAGGGTTCTCCTCTAGGGCCTGGCTGGGGCGCATTATCATCCGACGGTCTCTTCAACGTGTGTCCGGTCTAACTCCGTTTTCTTCGGCATTTCTTTTGGGAAATAGGCTCTTGGTTGATTCATTGCCTTACAGATTTCCTTGTTTTTAACCCTTTCTGGCCATCTGATCTTCGGTATGGAGTTAAAGGTAGTTTGACAGTGAGTTGGAATCCGATAGTCCAATGATGTCTCAACTTCCATGATTAATTGACGAAATTTATTATTCAATAGATTTTCAAATAACAATCCAATACAAACTGCTCCATACAGAGGTTAACACCAATCCCCTTTTTTAACACTACAAGTCTTTATAACTACAAACTACATGAGATAAGGAACATTTATATTAAGCCAAAATCAATATTCCCTTGTTATTCCTTTGCGTTTCGAGTGGAGCATAATACGGTTTCAAGCGTGAACTTTGAAGTTTCAGTAGCAATGGCATTGTTTTCTCTTGCGTGGAGGGAGATTGATAGCCTCATACACAATCTTCCCTCTACTACCAGCAGCAGTTAAGAGGAGTTCTGGAGTGTATCAGCTAGGAATTGGATCCGGATCAATCAATTAACCCATGATACAGACGTATTACCCGTTAATAAATAATAATAATAAAAATAACTCTTACATAATGATTGCGAATTTCCATTATAATATATCGCATTGTGATAGCTTGTTTCTCATCCATATCTCGAATACATTCACGATAATCCTCTATATGAGGAAATTTAGCAACTTTTCCAACCAGTTTACCCCTTGAAACATAATATCTGTATGAATAAATGGTGGGGAAAAATAAAGAAAATCAACTGTGAATTTATTTCAGAAGAAACTTTAATCCTATAAATATAATGAACTAGCCAGTGTAGAAGTTAAACACTATAAGACCCCGAACTTCTATATAGGTGAACCGAAGTTTTAACCACTTATTATTACCTAATGGTTGGAAGAAGCCGAGCAGTTCAACCAATAAATGAGTCACAGCTATATATCTACACCATCGTCCAAGTGTATGCATGCAACACATTCAGTAAGACCCTGTAACATTGTCTGTATTCCCCGATGAACAGTAGAATCTGACTGAATGAATTTCGACATAGAAAATTGCACAGAAGTGTAGCAATTCAATAAGTCGCCACACCCCACGAAGAAGCGCACACAAAGACAGAAGGCTCATATCGAGGAAGGCGGTGACCCAGCAATGAGCAACACAGGTCCTAACCATTTCAACGAATGCAGCTGCACTACCTAATCAATCAGCTGGCTTTCCTTCCTTCCTTACCTAACTAGCACTCTACGCCTAACTTAATTATTACTTATATTATGTTATGCTACTCAACACCAGGGTATAATTCAGCATTACTCATGACAGTTATATCGACATAAAGCAATTAACCAATATTCCGTATTTTTCAGTATTCATTAGGGTGAAAGTTAAACTAGACGACTTCAACGGAACGATTGCATCAATGACTTCATTGAATTGAAAGCCAATCGCGACAGTCTTTTAAGGCAAACTGATAAGGTGAGAAAATGCAGAATATAGTCAAGTATTAATAATCAATCCTGTGTAAACTGTCTCAAATTCTGCCTGTCTGTTTTCGACATAGAACTTTGCACCGATGTGCAGCAGTTCAAGTTGCCACACTCCCTCCTTGTAGCACACAAAGCAAGAGAAGAAAGTAGAAGAAATGCATAATAGAGACAGTAAACAGAGGTGTGAGACAAAGGAATAGTAATAAGGAAGAACAACATAGTTTAATTGGGAATCATAAATCGCAAGGAATGGATGCATCTGCGCCAGCCATATAGAACGATTTTGAGCCATATCACCGATTGCCTCCAGCCAGTGGTTTTTACCGTCCCGAGGACCCCAACCAGGAAGTTTCAAATTCAGCCTTAACCAATAATTTATACACCTTAAACATTAAGGCAACTATAATCCACCTTAGGCTTAAATCTAGCTAACTCCATGATAGGAACCAGCATGAAGCAGTATAGATCATCCGTTCTCATGAATCTTGTGATGGAGTTACTATATTAATCCATCATTTCTCACATTTATTGTGTGATCAATTAGTCATCTTTTGTCTCACCTTAATCTTTGTCGGATCGCTAACCTATCAGAATAGCTATTGCCAGACAATAAGAACAATCTCTTTCCACGGCTGTGAGCCAACATTATTTTATTAAAGAAAATGTGTAAAATGTGATGTGTTGTTCCTGATAAATATACCATATCTTACAGCTACAGGCGAGCCTTTGTCTTTTGATATTTGCGTGTGGCTCAGTGAAGAGGAAGGTACAACGGCCAAATAGGCGTATATTAGCGTACTAGTCGAGTTCAGTACTGTTATACATTTAGCGAGGCAGATATTAACACTCTCCTGACCCCTATGCAATAAGAGTTATTTAAATGAACACCGACACTACAATCATAATAATAACAACAAAACTCGGAGTTATTTTTCCAAAACACCTCAAACAAAAGTGTCCTGTTTCAACATACTTACACTTTAATAGTGCCATCATCAAGCATCTCCTTGATACGGGTCACGTGGTGGAAATCGCTAAATCCTTTAAAATTATCAATAGACAAAAAGACTCTATTCTCCTCAGGTTTTTGGCGAAGCAATCTCTATCAAACACCTGAATCCTGATTTATGTGTTCAGAAAGAAGCAGTTGCCAGTCTTCCCTTCTCATGGTAACTGGATTTCTTTATTCTCTTTCATTTGATTACGTAATCTTTGGCTTTAACCTCACCCTCCTCCGCTGACATAGTGTGATTTTGATTGTCACTTGTTTTGATGATTTGAGTTGAACTCCGTACATTGTTACCTAATTTATTAGTCACTCATCTTACGCATCTCTCGTGTTTATTACGTAACTACTATACCATCGTACGCATACATTTACTTAGTTTAAACTTGAACTACCTGTGTAAAAACTATATATAAGCGTAATTTTCTGAGCAATGTTCACTAATTTCGGAACCTCCTTTCAACTGACACCATGTAAAATTTGCAAGTATGTTAAAACTTTTTTGTACATAATAATTTATTAAGGCTGCAAGCAGCTGATGAGAAATCAACGAAATAAACAATGATGGTACCATATTATTCTGAGAAAATTGTTGTTCTTGCTTTATTGACACACAAAGGGTTTGACTAACCTCTCAGTTATATATACAAAATCAAATCTGTACCCACTGCTATCCCACGCATCTGTAGCCCTGATGCTCTAGAAGAAGAATTAGACCTTCTGAAATGGACATTCACCTACATTCACTGACAAGGACATCAAACCGAGAGTTCACATAAAGGAAATATCATTTAAACCAAAAAAGTACCTTTAGTGGAACCTTGATTTCAAGGGACGCTTAACCAACCGTGAATATCTTTAAGAGAAGAATAATCTTCATAACAATGCTACGAATAGTGTTCTCCAGTCAGTCGTTCACTGGTCTTCAGAAGCCTGAAAGGTAAGATTTCGCAAATGACCACTTCTATGTGCATTTTTCAGTTCGTTTGGAGGTAGGTACATTGGTCGTATCGTGTCTAAAAGGGTTCAAATAACGCTATAGGAAGGTAGTAATGACCCTATAAACAATCATGCGATAATTGAACACACTGTCTACACTGGTCAATCTATCTCACTGAACTTCTTCAAAATAATGTACAAAAAGGAAGAACAATTCGCTTTTGTCTACTCTGCATCACAGTGTTGTTGTTTCCAGTTGGGACGAAGATGCTGAATATGTTCAGTGTGTTCTGGTCGATTAAACATTTGACTTTTTTAACTCTGTGTGTATACCTCTTTTATTCAATAAGCTTGCGACGATAAACACTGGGTGCTGGATTGTTAACTGGTTGTTATCTTATTTTTCTGACAGAAAGCAATGTATTCCTATATGGTTAACTACCACGCCACGCAGCCTACAGAGTTTAGATTCGATCTCTACCGGCATCTTCATGGATGCGTATTGATGAAGAGTTCCAAACTAGGACGAAACAGCCCATCAGTACTCCATAGTGGTTTTCAATGATTCAGTCGAATTCCTACAAACTAACACCTGAAAATAAAACCTGACCAAAAACAAAACACACTTAAAAAGTATCCTGTGATTCTAATTAAGAGCAACAACTATATATATCACTGCAACAACAACAACTATTACTACTACAAACCTTGTTACTTGATCTAGAAACGAGCATGCATCTCTTTCAATACTCGATGCTTCAGCCAATATCTCTTCTTGTATACCAACACCAAAGTTATTGCCATCTTCAATTCGTGGTATATTAAATTGGACCCATAGACGCACAATTTGTGCCTCAATCATTAGTTGAGTTAAGCATGGTTTAGCTCTCTATGTAAAGGAAAATAAATAAATAAACATAAGTACAAAAATGAATGATTATGAGATAACTTTGAGTTCCTTGAAGATTGCAGAGACGCCTTGCTGATGAATGCCAACAAGCAGGAAAAACCTAAGTCACAAAAGAGCTTCCTACCGATCGCCGCTAACTATCTCATAACAACAATTCAGAGTGCAGTGCGATGAAGGGTCACCTGGCATAGTAGTCAAATAGCAAACTTGACTGATAGAATTTCAATTCGCACCAGCATAAAGGACTAGATGCATGATATTTAGTTACTGCCTATAGTACGAACTCTGATCATGATTTCACCGAATAGCTGAGTAAATAACAAGTGGAGTTCAAGTGAAAAGTGGGCATATTGCAAAGAAAAAATTATATTCGTATAAATCTCAACGAAATTTCCTGAAGCTTAGACCATTGTAATAGAAAAGTCAGAGCTTTGTCTACAGAAAAAGCTTCTGTAACCATCCTTTCTTTCGCAGTCTTAATCCATCCTGTGCATACCTATCACAATTCCCATGCCTGGCTTTAGAACTATTCACTTTATGTTCTGTTTATTGAATTTGTACATCCTTCCCTTATTAATGTCGATTATTATCATTATTGATTTCACTTTGAACAACTTCCGATATCCATCTCACTTGTCACTTTTATTTATTATTTGATTCGATGTAATTCGTGTTTGCAATGTTGTCTTATCATAATTTTCACCACCCTGTTGTTACGTTATCTGTTGATTGCTAACAAATCTTACTAATTCTACACCACTCTCTTCTAATACTTGTACATTTTATGAACTATTTAACAAAGTACATAACCCATTTCTTGTCACAATCCACACTATTATTTCTAAAACAATTGTGTATACCCGATTGTACAGAGCTCGATAGTAAATTCGTTGAAAAGAGTCTGTCTCCTCGTTGAATCACTTGTTTTGATTTTCCATATGTGCCTATCTTCATGTGAATTTTTCATGAATTAGAATTAAAATATAAAAGTGGGAATATCTTGTCTTGAAAATTCGTGTCCAATCGTCTCCTAAGCCATTATTATATTATTGTTCCCTTGGGTTCCTAGTGGAACATAGGGCTTCAACTCCACGCCTCCACTTGTTTCTGTCTTCTGCTGTACTTTTCACTTGCGTCCATGTTATTCCATACTGTTTCATCTCCTCCATGTCACCCTTGGACGTCCCACTACTCACCGCTTCCCCTTCGGGTTCCACTCAAGCACTGCCCTGACGCGCGATGTCACTCAACGGCCTCCTCAGCGAGTGTCCAATCCATCTCCACTTTCTCCTGCATATTTGTTGAGCGATTGGTTCTTGTTTTGTTTCTTCCCATAGTTTCTTGTTGGTGATTCTTTCCGGCGGCCATCTGATCTTCAGTAGAGAACGAAGACAGGTGTTGATAAAGGTCTGCAACAGGATGTTGGAAATATTCTTTGTGACACACTGGCCAAGTTTCTGATCCGTATAGAAGAGCTGACTGACTTGACGTTTGTATTGAAAATCCGAATTTTGTTGTTGATGCTGAGTGACGAAGATTTCCAGATTGGTTTCAGGTTGATGAATGTGTTTCTCGCCTTCCCGATTCTCGATTTGACATCCTCGTGTGTTGCTCTTGTAGTTGAGACAATGCTCCCTAGATAAGTGAGTGAGTGAAGTAACCTCTTTCTAATCCCTCCCGTTGACGGTGATTGGCGCTGGATGTTGCAGCTGTGGTTGGTTGGTTATTTTCATAACCGTCTTGTCTATATTCACCTGGAGTCCTGTCTTTGCTACTTCTTCGACCAGTTTGTCGGTTTTCGCTTGTAAGTCTTCGATTTTGTGTGCCATCCTAAGCCATGGATAGTCATAAAAGACAACCTGGTACGGCTGATGGTCGGTAGACTTTAGTCTTCCCCTCAAAATACTTTCATGTGCCCAATCGTTCAAAACCTCTGCTAAGCAAGTCCTGATCACTACATATATGCCGCTGAAGTGTTCCTCAAAATAAGTGAGGCGGCGAATACGAATATCTGGTGCTTACAACCGAACTGGTGAACATTCACGTCTACCCCGGGGAACTGTTTTCATCAAACACTTTATGATGTACATGGGCTCAAGAATCAGAACGAATTAGATGGAGTATGAACCTGTTTTCGTCACCGGAAACCGCGGGAACATAGCTCCATTATTTCATGCAACCGGTTCCCTTTATTAGTTTGAAGCTCCATTACCTTTTGGCTCAGACTTCAAGTTTCTGAAGTCAACCTTCTGTTTCGGCTTGGGCATTCAGACAGTACCTCAGCCCACGGACATATCCCCCTTGGTGCCTATAATGTCTGTACCGTTTGTTTGAATAATAAAATGTTTGATCTGTGATCAAGATTTGATCGGATAGTTCCACAAACTGATTACTAGCCGTTTTTGTGGAATACTGTACACTCTATGTCTGCTTCTATATGTCTTAAATGAAAATGTTCGAATAAAGGTTATCGTGATCTGGTAAAAGTTGCAAGGAAATCTGAATTAGAAAATATGTGGGTGATATCCAATAATGTGTATATGAATGATGAACAATTCCGTATCATTTTTCAGCATATTCAAAATAAAATAAAACGACATTATTGTGTGTTGGTTGAAATTTCAGGTCTTTAGTGTATCGAGTTTTTATATTACATACATTCGTAATGAAAGAATTGGTCATTGCGATAAAATATAAATGGAGTGGAAAATCTAGGAGTACTGCACAGCCGTTTCATCCATCTTTGGGACTCCTCATCCGTACACACCCATGAATCCGCTGGGGGATTGGACCGGGGACCCTCAGATTACAAGGTCAAGCTTGTTGACCATTACAGCCATTTGGCTGGGAATTCTAACTTTTGTCAATTTGTGTAGCGTTATCCGCTTACAATGCTTTCGATGACCATCCACCTCACACACCTTGACACGGTAGACTCCACATCTTATGACAGCTTCAAAGCATCCCTACAGCTGTAATCAATGAGTTGAAAGTTGATATTTAGATTATGGGACTTGTGAGGAGTCGGATTAAATATCTCCGCTGGGGAGATTTCATTACTAACAATAAATCAACTAGAGAGGTCATTGAAAACCACAGACATGTTCCACTCTAGCCTGGTATTCTTTAAAGATGACGGGACAAGAATCTTAAACACAAGATGTACCCTTATACATACATATATTGTTTTGCTCCTTTGCGTTCCCATTGGGACATAGGGCTTCCAAAGCTTCAGCTTTGAAGTTTCAGTAGCAGTAGTTCTAGTCACACGCCTAACTCCCTCTATTTGACAGGATTACTACCTATCGACTGAATGACGTCTAGGAATGCGCCGGCCGATGATCGAACGCCGGATCACATGCCGTTGATGCTTTAATTTTGATTATTTCCCTGAAGACCACCAGTTTGCCAAACAAATTTATCTGAGGTTTAAGAAGAGAAAATATAATTTTCACGTATGATATACATATATAGGAGAGAAGGCATGTTTTGTAAGTCAATAAACCACACACACACACACGCACACTTACCTCAATCATATCTTTGATATGCTTATTGTATGATATGCAACCATTTGGCAGTGAGTAAATATATGCATTTTTAATAGGCATACGTAATTTTCTCTCATTCATCAATTCATCAATATCATCATTATTGGTATCATTGTTATTATTTTTGTTGTTTAAACCCACAGAATCCGTATCACCACCAGAATTTAAGAAACTACGAAAATTTACAGGATAAGGTACATTGACTTCAGAGTGAACACGTTTGCCATCTGAGGAATAATTTTTGTTCAGCGGGAGGGGAAACATGACAAAAAGAAAATAATGGTAAGTAATAACAATAATGCAAATGAAACACTACAACTATGCTTACATAAAAACCTTATCAACCTTTCCTTTGGACGAAGAGTAGTTGTGGCTCATCGGTCGTGGCATTCAACTTTCAACCACCAATGGATGCCAGGGTTAAAATTCTACTCCACTCTCCAAGGTTTGGGTAGCCGGGTAATATCACTGGTTCATCACACATAATAGGTCTGGTTTTTATTCCCAACTGTATTGAATTGCAAGTGGTTATATTAGCGACCTTTTTAAGTCACTCGGCTACAAAACAATTAATATCTATCCTAATGTGTAAACTCTTCTCCATATCCTGTTGTTTTAATCATGTAATTATATCCATTGATCACTCACTACACGGACATTTTTAATTAGCTTTCAACAAAATACTGTATATTTCTTGAAGGAAACGAAGAAAAAACATAGTAGATAATTGGACTTTTCTTACTTGGAACAACACTTCGTCGCACGATATACTGTAGACCACTATTATTATTCAAGAGTTTGTTTGGAGGGATTTGGTCTGTTTTAGGTCTAACCACGGACTGGTGTCAGTTAGAGAACTATTGAAAACCATTAGGGTGTACTGGAAAGAACAGTTGGTTCCGTCCTAGTTTGAGACTCATTGGCAGTATGTACTCACCAACGGGGTTCGAACCCAGAACCTCCCAGTTACAAAGCAAGTTCGTAGGTTATTGAGTCACTGGACACGACTCAGTGGCCAGCGCATGAATACTCTTACCAAGTGGTAAATGTATCGCCATAACCGCTAGCCAACTTCATCGGTGGCGAGTATTTGGTCCGACTCCCACGACCGTGTGAACTTCACCAGTCATGAATTCTCCAAGCAACTTAGTCCTACAGCCAGACAGTCACTAACAAGCATCACTGTTATCTTACTTGTAGATCCTGTACAAAGAGGAAATATTTTGCGCAACTAAATACACTGTGAATTTTTGTACTGTTAGCATATTTGAAATAAAGCTTTATTATCACTATTATTAACACACCAATTTCATTTTTTTGCTGTCTTAATTTTTTATCAGCAAATAAAACCACCCGTTACCTTGGTTTAATCTCATCTTAGTGTCAAATCCTGAATTCATCAACACACACAAAACATGCTGTATTAACTGACCGTTCCCCTAAACTAATTTGAGATTATGTTGTACTCGAACAGCTGTGGACTGAATAAGTACAGTCTCTGGGCAATTCTATGGAAAGAATGGTACTCTTTTATTCTAAAACTCCATACTGTGCAGATAGATTTGGACTAGACCTAAATCAGTTACCAGTAGGCGATTGGTTCGCATGCATTATTCCATTCTACAGAGGATCAGTTATAATTCGAATGGTTAATCTCTGTAGATGTTGACTCTGGTAATGAATGTTCCAAGCTGAAATTTTGTAAGGAGCAACGGATATACCTTGTAGATGAATGTTGATAGATACGAAAGATACATCCAGAGATGTTTGCGAAATCAACACATATTACATCTCCTATCCTTTTTGTTACTTTATATATTTCTGTTGCCTACTTTGCTGTTAGTGGGAGTGTGGCCCATTGACTTAAGTACTGAACTTATGGCCAGGGTTCAAACCTCGTTCGACGTGCTTCGGCTTAGGTAATTGGGTAGTATCACCAGTACACACACATACAATACGTGTGGCTTACACAGCCTGGTACATGAGAATTCTTTTCCAGATAACTGAGTTTTGATAATGAATTTGCTAGTGATCATTTCCAATAATAAGTCTGTCAACTTGAACAGAGACTCGATGTGCCAAACTACACATTTCAGTTGATTGATCAAAAACTACAAAGACAGTTTTCATCTGCGAAATTCCACCACATTTTTTCTAAAGTTTTATACTGTGAACAGATTTCTATTAGGTGCCGTTTTCCACCCACCGAAAGCACGTGACGCCAATTAGCTGTCATCAAAAAATGCATTTCTCAAAGCCGAAACAAAAACTTCTTTTTACACTAGACTTACCGACAAGAAATAAATCAGAAGCCAATATATCTTCCATTTCAAATACACGTTTTGGAAAAACCTTACGTACTAGTTCTTCACCATCAATTTTAGTTTTCTCTTTGTAATCATTGAGTCTACTTTCCTCACTATTCATTTTTTAATATATTTGTTGAAATATATAACTAAAATAGAAAGAAAAGTTAAGTTGAGAAAAAAAGCAATTGTAATTAATGAACTTTTGAAACAGACAAGATAAAGTGAAATGTTTAATTGTTTCGTACATACACTGGTCAGCCAAAATGCCAACATCCTAAACAAATATACCGATGGGTGTATCACAAGCCTACTAAAACCAGGAAACATTGCCTTTCCAGTGGTGAGTCGAACACGAAATGATGTTTAAATGATGCAGTCCTCTTAGCATTAGAGTATTTTTCCCGAAGTAATACTATTTTACTAGCATAGATATCACGCGTGCACTACACAACAGCAAACGCTGCCGTTTTTCACTCGTTACTAAACCTGTCAAACTAGGGGACGCCATGCTGTGACATATTGCTCGGTCTCGAGATTTTTGCTTGTGTAACCCTTGACAGTAGTGAAAACACATTTGCAATAAATAACCAGAATTATTCTTACCAACGTGCCCCGAATATTTGAACAATGGTGATGACGATTAGCTAGCCAGTGACACTAATATCCATACTTTATCGCATAAGAGAAGTTCAGAGTAAAAGTAGTCGCTCTTACTGGAAACCCCGACAACCCTAACACTATAACCCACCACGTGTAGCGCAGTTGATAATTATGCCGCGTTTCCCTTTCAAATTTCTTTGCACAAACACACTACTCAAAAGGTAGACGTTAAATGTCACGTTCTGGAACAGCTGTTAAAATTTCACTTGGAAATTTTTTGTCAATAAGTTTTAATAAAATTGTGTTATATGTCATCTGGATTGATGGGAATTCCCATTTTCTGGCCAGTTATTTTGATGTCCGCGTCATGTAATCTGACTGCGACACCCCTTAGCATATCGGTTGCAACGATCAGTGTTTCAGGCGAACTGTAGCAAAATATCACTATAATGAGAAAGATGGGATAGTTGAAAGGTAATGTCATCTACACAAATAGTCTAATTTATTTAGATGCTGCACCTTTCGGCATGGTATCATTCAATGGATATTAATTCAGCCTATTTTCGTGTGAAGAAGAGTCCTTTTTGACAAAAGAATTCTATCAGTACTTGGAAATCACCTGTAAATGCTAACAAAACCTTCTGTGGGAATAGAAGTAATCATGTAGATGCGTCTCACCGTATGTGTGTTTGGACAGGAATTATCGTAAGTTGAGAGGTTATTTCTAAGTGTATTTCATGTATATTTGCACTGTTTGGTGTAGCGTAATAAGAGTTATATGGACTCAATGCATAAAAATATCTCAACTTTATTAATATTGTGCCATTGCTAAGCTGAATGCTTGGTTGGCAAACGTAGGTGGTTGTCATGATTATTGTAAGTGCAGTGCAGTGGAGAAGGCAATCACTCGTTTAAATTTCCTTACTGTGTCACTTAGTGCATTAATTCAGTGTATAGTATTATTATACACATGGAATGTGTCGATTATAAGAACTGAATCTAGTCAGCTCTATTACTATCAATCTACTGTCTGTTATGCCATCCTCACTGGCACTGTAAACTTAATGCTGCAATGTTTTTGATCACCAATAGTGATGAATTTTTCCTGAGTTTTCCATTAACATGAAGCAGCACAGATGCCGCATCACGACTGAAAGTTTAGGTTGCATTATATGTCGTTGTTATTCTCATCAACACAACAGGTCTGCCTATCTTACAATATTCCAAGTGTTTCTCTATGCTGCTAACACTGTGCATAGCTGTTTATAGTTGAAGCATGTTCAGCTTAT